CTGCAGACTCACCATGGCATTTCTTTGTATTTATCTACATCTATGTCCCTATCTGCTATAAATAGTCCCACCCCATGCTGAAGAAGTTGATCCCCACATCATGATGCTGCCATCACAATGTGTTTATTGGTAAGGCTTTGGTTAGTTTTTCACCTATCCTTGAAGCTTATGCTGGGACTAATTAACACATATGTGCAGTCTCTTTAAAACAATAGTTGACAGCAGTATGTAAATAACTTGATTTTTAACAAACAACCCTAAAGAAAGAAGAATTTTAAAAGGTAAAGGGGGATTTTATTACTTTGCCAAAGCACTGTAGATTAGAGGTACCAACTCGGTGAGCTTTAAGGCTGATTTATACTCAGAAACCAGGCCTTCTGCGCGTGTCGTAGTCAACACAGATATGTCCCTTCTGCAGACACTCTGGTGCATTTCTCCAAAATTGTAGGTGGTAAACAGTGCTGAAGGCAGCAGGCCTATGATTGGTCAAATATTTCCTGTTTGGTACTTTACCGGCTTGTGTTGTTTGTATGACTGCCATTGTTGAAAATGACTCGTGAAGTTGGACCAGCTAGAAGAGCGAGGTGCACGAGAACACTGGGACCCCTTTTCCACGTGGATCCCTGCTCATTTTTGCCCTAATGTCCTTCCGTAGACGCACAAACTTGCCCCTTGCGTTTTTTCACTTCCTCACCGCCTCGGCCGTATCTAGACCTACAGTTAGTTCATAATTGTCCCTCTTGCATTGTGATGTCAATTAACATACAGCAGATGATGCTTCAAAATTGGGCATAATTGGTCATACCTGCGACAAGCTAAGTGCGACACACTGCTGCGGGAGGATACACAGCCTTTTAAGCTCATCGTCAAAGTATTTATCAAGGATACTGACATCCTTGCTGTGCCAAACCAAGATTTTAAATAGCTTTTTGCATAAAGCATCTCTGGAAATGAATGACAATTCTGATGCATTTTTAACACAGAAACACATTTATTTAGATCTGAAAACATTGATATCAAACAATATTACATTTTCTTATCATTGCAGATCAGACTTTTTAATTTCAGTTTATTTTTTTCAAATTTAGGTAAATGTAACAGATTCTGAGTCTAAACAATGTTTTGGGAATTCTTCCTCTGGTTAGGAGGTGTCTTTTGTAATATATGCAAGTAAAAGTGCAATATCTAAATTGGTCCAAAACAGGCCTCTTGAACAGGCTTCTTTGATGAATAAATATCGTTTTTAATTTCAAAAATACAAATATAACAACATTTTTTTTAAGTCATTTGTTTTTCATCGCTATTTTCTAAAAACCTTAGATAATTTCAATAAAAACAGCAGAGTTAACAAAAGCTTAGCATATGGATCACTGCATCATCTATTTTCTATATTAACTTCATTTGTTCCCCCCCCCCCCAAAAAAAAAAAAAACTATAAGGAACAAAGACTTTGACAGGAACAACACCATAAACATCACAGCGTTATGTTACATTAAAATATCTTTTTTTTTAAGTTTAAGGGAAAAAAAACAAATATAACAACCGCAACATAAAATTAAGGAATACAATGCATAGATTCAATCATCTGAAAATGTAAAGATATAATTTACTTAGTACAGCTCTTTAGGTTTTAGAGTAAATCTACATAAAAATTTTTACAGTAAAATCTGATGTGAGTGACCAGCACAAATATATGTAGACTTTCTTGTGTTTATACATTATATATATATATATATATATATATATATATATATATATATATATAGTTGTGAAAGCATCGCATGATGAAAAACATTGAATATATCACTTTCATTTCAAAGGCAAATTTGGCTATAGTAAATATAATAGTATGTTTGGTAAGAAAAAGGCAATGTGTGGCACAAAAGCTAAAAAAGCAGTTTCTTAGGGATAACAAATTTATTTGACTCCTGTTAGATTTGATTACTTAAATTACGTTAATGACAAAAAAAAAAAAATCTATAGCTTTCACGGAAAATTTATGTTATCAAAGTCTTTATTGTACTGTAGTCAGGTAAAAAAAGAAAAAAAGGTTCAATGGAAAAACACAGTCCTGAACTAAATTATATTAGATATTCATCCCTGGTAAAGATGTGTAAAAAAGTATTTAAATTGTAAATATCAAGAATGTTCTCTGAGGTAATGTTTTTTAGGTGTTTTTTTTTAAAACACTTTGGTCAAAGCTTTTTCAGATTAATCTGCCACGAAATTAAATCATATAAATATAAAAAAGCAACTGAAATTTCATAGTGTTTAAAACGCAAATACATTTTTTAGGCTTTGACTATCCATTTTTATCTGGCTTTAAAAAAAATTTCTATTTAAATTACTTAGATTTAACTAATCTGTATGCACATGGATCAAAAAAAGTATCAGTATAAAGAGAGAAAAAGACAATCGGTCCAAATGACCCTTATGTAGGACATTTAGTGACCGCAGTTCTCTTAACAGTAAGAGAAAATTCAGTTTAATTTCTATTTCCCTATCTGCATATATGGGCCCATTGAAGCAACCACATTATCTTTTTTTTGTAACTTCCTGACTTATGACAATCACTACATATCTGCCTTGTTTAAATGGCATGTTCTCTTTTGAAGAGGGGCCATGTAAAGTAAAAAGCCAATTGTTATAGTTGCACCCATACGGGCAGTAAGATACATGATTTTAAGAAAATTAGTTGTATTTAAAATACTGTCTAAAGTTCAACACTAATTGCAGCACTTATTATATTAAGAATACAATCAATGTCGTAAAAACTATTGTTTTAGCTAGGTAGTTTTTTTTTTTTATTTCCTAAAAAAACATCCTAGCTGAAAATATTCAGGAAAAAAAAATTTATTCTGGGGGGGGGGAAATTTACACAAAACTTTACCAGGATTTGTCTATAATTATGTGATGCACTGTATATCTCACGTTACAATTTATTATCAGAGCTTTTTAGACCCTTTTTTAAATTTCTTAACTTCTGCCTTTTTCTGAATTTCTGCCTCTTGCGATGAACAGACTTCATTGGATAAACTCATGTTTTCAGACACATATTCACATTTTTAACTCTACTAAGGATGAAATGTTTATTAGTACAGCAATAAGAGCAAATATACAAGCTAAGATCAGACATCTAACACTTAGTGGCTTTTTTCAGGGACAATAAACTTAGTAAACCTGTAAAGAAACATAGATTAGGTGCTATCAAGAAGTTTAAATGTATAAAGAGACAATAATAAGCAGAGGTAGGAGAGGGCGGAGTTAGAGAAGTAAGGCTGTTCTTTAAGACAGCATCAGAGGGCTCCTTTGGATCAAACCTGACCTTTGAGACCAGAAAGAAAACACCGAAAGCTCTGGCAGATGCTGGTTATTTGCATGAAATCAACAGCAGTGCTAACAAATTGCTTTCATCCAAACTGTCTCAAATTGTTAACATTCACTAAAGTGTGTTCAGTAAACCTCAGCAATATAAATTTACAACTGTTTTTTTAACCCCCAGAAAAGCAAAAGAGAGTAAAAAATAACATTTTTTTTTCTATTTAAGACTACAATATTTGAGCATCTTCTGGACCGTAGAGATTTACAATATTATCTGAGCCTGCAGGCAAAAATCTACATTTTTAGGCACAACAAATAGGCCCCTGTGGTACTAAGGTTCAGAGTGACGAAGAAGTCGTCCGAGTGCAGTTTGTGCACCAGCGTAAACCTATATTAACCTCAAATAAATTAGCTCACAAATATATCTAGTAAACGTACTGCATCGTTTTAATATATAATTGCAAAGTATGTACAAGAAATCTGCCTGACTGACCTGTTTACCTAACATGGGATTAAAAGATCCAGTTTTATTTATTGAATTTTTTTTTTACTTTTGAGCTCATTTCTGCTGGTTGTTTCCTTTGTGTAAACAGTATTTACAAACTCCATACAAAAAAGAAAAGAAACCAAATATTACAAACTTTTTGATTACATTATATACACTCAGGCAAGAAGCATGTTTTTTATGTAACATCAGAGTCCTCTGAGATATATCTCATTTTTAAGCATTTCAGTCCAAAAACCAACAAGACAATGTTACCTTCATCATTTGTCAGTTAAAAATCGGTTATCTGTGGGACACACCATACATTTTGAGTCTCCCCATCTGTAGATTGTTGTGTTGCTGATGACGAGAAGATGTACTGTATTTGGCGGTGTAAAAGGAAAGACACTGCCTTGCAAATGTATCTGCACCCCTTTAGCTTCTTCTTTTACTTGTAGAGTTACAAATTTGTTTCACTGGGATTCTATGTGAAAGACCAAAATACATTCTGAATAGAAGAATAGAATACAACTTTTATTGTCATTACATTCTAACAAGTACAAAGCAACAAAATTCACTATCTGCATTTAACCCATCCCTTTGGGTAGCAGTGGGCTGCCATTGTGTGGCGCCTTGGGAGCCTTGCTCAGGGACCCACAGTGGCAGTCTATGGGAGTGAGGCTTGAACTCAGAACCTCTGGGATCCAAGTGCAAGGCCCTAACCACTAGGCCGCCACTCCCTCCAAAAAGTTGAAGTTAAGTTATTTTCCAAATAATGTTAAATAAATGTTGTGCTTTTGGATTCAAATCCAGTTCAATTGGCTTTAGCTAATGGCAAAGTCCATCTGTGTTTATCTATGGTATCATAAAAATCAATGAGCACACCGGACAAGACAGATGTGTATTATCTGAAAATTAAAAGAAGCCTGTGGTAACTCTAGAGGAGTTGTTGATATCTATATCTAAATACAAGAATCAAATGAACATCTGCTATTCGAAAACTAATTGGCAGGACTAATAATGCCAGCATTGAAAAGACGCCCTGTTTACAATTTGCCAAAAGCAGGTAAGAGACACAGCAAACATTGTTATGGAGAAAACACTGCAAATCACCCTGAGCACACCATATGCATGCTGAAACACAGAGGTGGCAGTATGCTGCAGTCAGATGTATTTTCTTTTCATTACGTATATGGAATATTATGGGGAGATTTGGTGGAGAAATCCAGGGAAACAATGGAAATAATACTGTTTAGAGCCTAGATAAGGCTTCAGGCTGGCTGCAGGAACATTAACCTAAATCTTCTAAAACAGATGGAATGGAATCAAATAATATCTAAGTGTTAGAAAGGCCAAGATAATGTAAAGACCCAAATCCATTTGAGAGACAGTTGAAACACTTGAAAATTGTTGTTGTTTCGTCCAATCTGGCTGAGCTTAAGCTAATTTCCAAAAAGAAATGGAAAAACATTTATAAATTTTTATTGATCTAATATTCATCTCCAATATTACATAAACAAATTGCAATAGGGAAAAATGATCTACCCTAACAGGACATAAAAGTGCTGTAATTGCAGTTAATGTTAATGTATTGATGTACCGGTAGATCTTAAACAAGGGTTATTATCCTTCAATTTTTTTAGAGTCACACTTATATTTGGTTTTCTCATAAAATCCCAGTAAAATATACTAAATTATTTGATCTTAATTTGATAAAATATATAAAAAAGATAAAGAGGTGTTAATATTTTTCAAGCCACTCGATGTGTTTCAGTTCGGCTCTCTTGTTAAGGCAAAATGTTTGGCACTTGAAAACAATCCTGATCTCTGTTCTAAAGTTGACTCATGCACAGAGGTCTGTAGAAGTCATTTAGCCTATAAATATCATCTTGAAGCAGGAATCTTGCTGGGGCACAGATTTCTTGGGATGAGGACCTTTATTCTCATGTAATTTCATTTTTTTTCTTTGCCCAAACAGCAATGTGTCAGATGAATCAATCTCAGATTGCCTTCGCTTTTTACCCAGACACCCAGCTGTGTGTGGTGGTCTTCACTCCGTGTGGGAAACCTTGTTGGGTCACAACTGGCTCAAAGTTGAAGTCCAGGGAGTCTCCGTCCATTAGAGTTTCATGGAGCACCCTTTCTACGTCAATCTCAAACTTTTCGATGGACATATCATCCAGGTCGCTGGGAAGTTTCTCCATGTGTGAGGGTACCATCATGCCTGTTCGGCCATATCCATTGGTGTTAAGAGGACAGAAGCTGCTGGGCATTCCTCCCCCACTAAGGTGCCCAGGTAGGCCATAAGGCATCTGCATGGGGCTTTTGGCCACAGGTAAACGTGTGCTCCCCCCATTGTAGCTCAGTGACATCAACAGGCGGCCGTTCATAGCTGGTGATGTAGCCTGCCCTTGGTTATGCATGTTGTGAGGGTGGGGATGAGAAAGACCATGCGGGTGAGTGTTCCCTCCTGCCATGAGTTTGGCTGCATGCTGGCTGCTGCTGTATGAAGGCAGCATGCAGCCACTGCTGGACTGAGATACCACGGTGTCGACTGACGGCATTAACTCACTGTGTTGATCAGTGTCTGACGTCAGCAGTTCCTTCAGCAGCCCGGCGGGACAGCTGTACTGCCCCATGCTGGGCACAAAGCCAGGTTTACTCTCTGACAAAGTCTGCAGAGGCATAGATGACATTGTGTTCATTCCAGCTTGGCCATAGACGCACTCGTGGAACTCCTGCTGCGACTGGGAGCCCATGCTCGGGGAGCTGTAGGCTGGGTAACTGGGGCTGGGCTGCATCATTGGTGAGGGGGAGGACTGGGAGGAGCCTGGAGTTGTCGCCCCCCCTCTAACCTGTGAGTTGTTGGGCGATAGCAAGTTCAGGTTGTCCAGGAGGTTCTCCATGACATTCTCAGAGCTATGTCCGAGAGATCCAGTCATCTCGGTGAGACTGGGCAGTGTCGCTGTCATCTTCGATCCCGGAGCTCCTGGGTAGCCCATGTGCACGTCGGATTCCCCCAGGTCGTCCTCAGGCACAAAGGGTGAAAGTCGGCCACTAACGGTGCTGGCATTGGAGCTGGTCCTAGGCCTGAAGCCATTCCAGGCTTCGTAGTCGTCGTTACTGTGGGAGTTTGGACTGCCGGGCCACTTGGAGTAGGAGCCTGGGCTGTCAGCGCCGCCATCAGCACCACCCTGAAGGGCCAGCTGTTACAGGGAGATTATCAGGGTTAGAACAATGAAACACAGCACCTAATCCCAATCTTAAAACTCATGCAAGATAGAAAAAGGACAAATCAGGGATATCTTACATACAAACCAGTGCCACTCTCTTATTTCAACCTGCTTTTACCAGAGAAGCACGATTTATCACATTGATTTATATATATATATATATATATATATATATATATATATATATATATATATATATATATATATATATATATATATATATATATATATATATGTATGTATGTATATATATATATATATATATATATATATATATATATATATATATATATATATGTATGTATATATATATGTATGTATATATGTATATATATATAGTTAGGTTCAAACCTGTTTTTGCATATATTAGAAGAAAATGATAATTGGTACCAAGACTAATCCTTGAGGAACACCCTTAGGGATATATTGAGTTCTGCCAGTTTATTTAAAGATATTTTCAATAAACATAAACTAAAAACTATTGAATTTAGAAAATAACATAAGTGACTAAATACTTTAGAAAAAAGATGCACCAGTTTGGCTTCTCTTGACCAGTTCAATATCTGTTTCTTTGAGACTAGAATGTCTAATTTAATGGCAGTAGAGTTTTTAGCACTGATGGATTTAATAAAGATTTCAATTTACTGTTTTTCTGACCTACCCATTATGATTCCAGCTCATAAACTGTTATTGACCATTCCAATGTCTAAGCGGTTTGGTTTGTGCATCTAAAGTCAGATATATGATGCATTTGTATTGCAAAGCATCGTCTATTTCTTTAAAGGAATAGTACACCCAAAACATGATTAGCCTTCATTTTCTACTCACCTCCATGCTGAACAACACTCTGGAGTACTTTTTTGATATCTCAAATGCATCTGGAGATCTGGGAGGCTTCTTGCTGTCTGCTGACATTCAAATAATGGAGGTCCATGGCGCCCGAGACAGAAAGGTCCATAAAAGTCCACAAAAACGTGTCAATATTCCTCCATACTGCTCGTCCAATGTAATCCAAGTGTCCTGAGTGGGTAGCATCCAGAATTTACTCGAAACGAAGTCATTTAGAATGTTTTTAGAGCATAAACAGTAGTGTATAGGATTTCCTAATAGCGTCCCCATGCGCGCTCACGATTCTACGGAAGCCGGCAGACCAAACCGGAAGGAAGTGCGCATTCAGCGTCTGGTCTGCCGATAATGCAAGCGTAGAAGAAGAAATGTGCTGTTTACCTGTGCAAAGAAAGAAACAACGAAAGAAAAATGTCTGAGGACTTCAGTGTTGAGGAAGAGCATGAGTTCTTTGCCGAGCTGAATGCGCTGGTTTGGTCTGCCGGCTTCCGTAGAATCGTGAGCGCGCATGGGGGCGCTATTAGGAAATCCTATACACTACTGTTTAGGCTCTAAAACGTTCTAAATGACTTCGTTTCGAGTAAATTCTGGATGCTACCCACTCAGGACACTTGGATTACATTGGACGAGCAGTATGGAGGAATATTGACAAGTTTTTGTGGACTTTTGTGGACCTTTCTGTCTCGGGCGCCATAGACCTCCATTATTTGAATGTCAGCAGACAGCAAGAAGCCTCCCAGATCTCCAGATGCATTTGAGATATCAAAAAAGTACTCCAGAGTGTTGTTCAGCATGGAGGTGAGTAGAAAATGAAGGCTAATCATGTTTTGGGTGTACTATTCCTTTAAGAGAAAGGGTTAGAGTTCCAAATATGGCTTAGAATATATCCAACATAGAATTTAAGGAGAAAGTTTCTCCATGACACAGTATAAACAAATCAATGTACCAAAACTTTTTCAAGAAATGTGTAATATAGTTTTTTGTTACAAATAGAAAAATTTGACTAATGTACCTTTTTCTTTGCTGCTCTTCCCCTGCTCTTTGTGAACTTGCTGTTGTTGTCCATGGAGGCCGCCCTGCGTCGTGGAGACTTTCCACTTTTCCCGCCTTCTGGGTTCAGCATCCACCAGGAGCTCTTCCCCGTCCCCTCATTCTGGACACGGATGAAGCGGCTGTGCAGGGACAGATTGTGTCTAATGGAGTTCTGGAGGAGAGGGAGAAAGAGGAGGAAAAAAGGATGAGGAGGAGACAAACAGGGACATTTGCCCTTTTCCCAAAACATCTCAGATGTGTTTTATCACAGAAGTGCAAATCCACGCATACAGGTGGCGGCTCTTGAAAACATGTTCGCCTTGACAATTGACTTATGAGGAGAGAAGAGAGGTTTTTAAGGTCACTCAACGATCCCATGGTGTTTGCCTTCCAAAGAAAACACACGTGCAAACACTCAATAGATGTCAGTGGGTTTACTCCATGACCAAGATATCCTGAGCGAATATGAGCATGGAGAAAAACAGAGAAGGCTATTGTAAAAAAAACAAAACAAACTAAACTAAACAAAAAAAAAATCTGCAGTCACATTCCACTTGACTCTGTGTCTTGTCTAAACCAGCACAAATTCAAAGGGAGGAAACCGACTAATCTTTCCTCCTTACAGACACATTAATGCTAAGCTCTGACGTTGCTTAGTGACACTACCGGTGGAAAAACTAATTTTTGAGCAGGAAGCTAGTGAAGCGTTATAAAAACAGGGCAAACAAAAGAGCAAGAATATTAGGTAAATGTCTGCTGAGCAAACCGCAAAAGGCGAGACACCCTTTTTTCTTCCACTGCACTCTGACGCCTGAGTCACAAAACACTCAGGATTTCACCTGTTTGTTTGATTTTAAAGTCCAGATTGACTCAAAGTGCAGCTAAAGTAACCATTTAACCTCAAAAAATAGTTCAGCTCTGCCTCCGCATCATTTTCTGTCTGTATTTCAACATGAAGTAATGAGCCTTGCCCAGACATTACAGTGCCTGCGTAAAGCTTGTTGTTTTGGAGGAAAAGCTGGAAGTCCCGGCACGCACACAGACATAAACACACGCACACTCGCACGCAGAGCTTAGCGTGCATAGCAGCCAAAGTCATCAAGCCCGCTGCCCGCCGTGAGTCACGGCTTCACATCTGGTTTGCAGTCTGCACCCTCCATGCTGCCTTCACCTCTGTTTCTACTCATCTGAGCCATCATGTTTTCTTCTTCCACAACAGGCCACAGGTGGGTGTCATAAAGTATTCATGGATTTTAAGTAACACATATCAAAATTAGCCAATAAAATGTCAGAATACAAGAACTTTTAGAAAACATTATAAAACATTACAACTAGTTTTTTCTTATTTTCTCATATTATTATTTGTAATGCCTGCTCCAAAACATTGATTTTGTTGTTCTTTTGCCACTTCAAAACTAATTAAAAAACATTGTTCATATTGCAGACCTGTTTACTGTATGGCAAAGCCTTAACTTCCAGGTTTATATCTTCCGATGTTGCTTCAATGTTTCCAGCTGATGTTCTGCTGCAGCTGGGGCTGGTACTGCACAGAAGAACATCAACACACTGTGACGCTGTCACACCTCAAAAAACATTAATCTCTCCAAAAACTGCCCCTGAGTGTATTTGCAAACTATAACCTGCTTTTAGCACTACTTTTGGAGTAATGGGTTCTTTATCTCTATGTGGATATTCATAGCCTTCCTCTTCTGAGCTTTAGGCATCATCTTAACATCTTGCTTTTGGTCTGCAGCTGATAAGAATATGCAACAACATCTTTTGGACATTCCTAAATATTCATTGATATTCAGTAAGTTAGAAATCCATTGTGATTAGCCTTGTTTGTAAAATCAAATCAAGTTCCAAAAAAAAATAAAAACAATCCACTTTTTTTTGTTTTGAAACGCCTATGACCTGGATGACTGAGAACCTTCACCTGCAACCTTCATCAAGCATAAACCATTTGTCAATGCAGATTTACTATTCTAATTTTAAATGCTGCTTTAACATAACCTTTAAAACATCAGAATTATATGAAATAAAGGTGAGAAAACACCCTTGCAAGTGTAATTATACTATATAGTGTTTCGTCTGTCGAACTGATTTATAGACAGTAGTAAGCTTTTTAATGATATAATAATTTACTGATTTTGATTTTTGATTTTTTCCTATCAGCATTTGTAGCACCATAACTCTATAAAAGGGTAATGTGCTAAATAAATAAATTAAAAAAGTCTTTCAGATATAAGGATTACAGAGCTCTTTGGCTCCATATCACTTGGAAATAAGAAAATCTCCCCCCCAAAAAAAGTAAAGTCTGTATATCATTGGTTTTTCATCCTAATAACAACCCTGTCAAACTTTCTAAGAACCCCAAATTATAAGAGCTGTGAAAATATCTCCAGTTTAAGCCGATTATTTTGAAGTAATGTACCTTGAGCTCATTAGTAAACTTACATGTAGCAGAAAAGAATGTTCTATTTTAATAAGCCTGAGATGATAGGAGTAGTTACTATTATCAAGGATTTAAAACTAAATGTTTTAAAAAAGCAACATTTCTGCATCACAACTAACGCTTTCTTTTAAACATAGCAACTTGCCTGAGTTTTCTAAAGTCACGACCATGGACATAGACTATTATGAACTAATACAGCGGTGCCCCATCTCCATCCACTGCTGCATACTGCCAGTCAGATGGCTGAAGGAAGCCTGCTATACTCCCCACTCTGTAGAAATATATCTGTCTGGAAATATTTCTGGTTGTGAAAAACAGAGTCATTGAGTGAAAATTGAAAAAGTACAGCGTATGAGTTTAGTTGAGGTACCATTGGTTTAAAACTAGAGCAGCAGATACCTGTGCAAACAGTTTGACTAATCAACCATATCAGCTTGTTACACCTCCCCTCTGCCCACAGTCTCCATGGTCAGATGACAAACACTGGCTCCTTACAAATGATTGTTATTACCCCTGAATCAAATGACATGACTGCTTTGACCGATAGACTTTGAGTAGTTTGCATGATCTGGGGTATGTGACAGCCCTTCTTCAAGAGCCTCACAAATGCCCTGCTCCCATTTTCTCCACCTTTTGCACATTAGTACTTATGACAAAAGGGGAGAGAGAAAAGTCTAGTCATGAGCCTCAGTTTCCCATGACTACTGAGTGTACGGCTTTATTCAGCTGTGCTGGAATAAGGAATGAATGCAATGTGTGTGCAGACGCCGGGATGTCCTGTTATAGCGCTTCCATCATCCTGATGACAGGATGGGGAGAAAAAAAAATTCTCAGCTTTGGAGAAATCCATTACGACTTGTGTCACAGTTAAAATGCAGGGTGTGATGATCTAGAACATTTAGTCCAGAAGGAATGGAGCAACAGAGCGAGCAGAGGCACGGGGACATAAATGAGCTCTGATGGGAAATACCAGTACTCAACAGAACTTGGTGTGCTTTGTGGGGAGTGTGGCTCAGGGTGTCTGGTGTGGCAGTGGAAAAAAGCTCGTCGTCCCACCAAACTTGTGTGAGTGTGTGTCTGTGCGTCCTTAAATGAAATGACACTACGACAAACAGCAGCTTTGTATGGCTTTGATTCTGAAACACAGTCTGTCTCAGCCAGAGACGGTGGTTTGAAAGCTACACACTCACTTTTATGAATCCAACACCCAACAGTTACAGTGTTTGGCATTCATGAACCTTTTATTAAGTTGTCACTTTACAACCACATACATTTAAGTATTTTATCAGGATTCTAATAAAACCTTGTTTGTGTTGTTTTTACATTAAAAATGCAAAGTTGTGTTCATTACCATGATTATAGCTTTTAATGCTAAAAAATTTCAGCTCAGTCATGTCCAGACTTTGACTTGGCTATTTTGAAGCAAACTATGCTGTAATCTAAACAATTTCTGTGTCATATCTGTCGTTCTTCCATAGGTTCATTGACTTCTCAAAGTGTCCTTCTTCCAGGATTGCCTTATGTTTAACTCCATCTTTCTGTTGACCATTAGTAGCTTCCCTATGCCTGCTGAGGAAAACTATTCCCATGATTCAGCTACCGCCATGTTTCCCCATGGAAAAAGGCTTTTCAGGGTGTTTTACAGCATTAGAACACTTTTTAGCTTTATTTTAAGCCCTCTAGTTGAAAATGCCGATTTGTGAAGAGTAAATCTAATGGTTATCCTGTTAAAATGTCCTACCTGAGCAGTGAGTTAGGGGAGCTCCTCCAGCGGGCTCCTCTGATAATTGCTCTTCTAACGCGTAGGGTTGGTAGACTTACCTGTATGCGTTTTTGGATTTAATTTCAGAAGAGAATGCATCTACCGATCATATAAAATACAGATATATTTTATGAAAAGCTTTGTTTGCACACTTAAAGTTTAAGCACATTCTCTTTTGGACACAAAGAGTGTTTTGTTGCTTTTGGAACCAGAGATACATTGTGACACAGATTTATCTCTGGCTGCAGAACACAGGAATCTAAACATTCCAGCTAATCACTGTGTGCAAAGTTCAATTGTAATCTCCGCCAACGTGCTAGTATCTTTTAGGAAACAGTAAATGCAGGATTCCCAGCCAAGGAGTCATCACAATCAACATTCCTGAGCAAGGTTACAAAACCCACAATTTCCCAAAGCTTTGATTACTGTCACTGGAGGATGTCCTAAAAGAAAGACAAATTAGAAAGATTTTATAAAAAGTAAACAAGCTAAACTTTTAATTAAGACATACAAAAGTTGCTTTGCATTGAGATACACGGCCATAAAAAGCAATGAGTGAGCTGACATTAGTGTCTTTGTTAGAGCTCAGTTATGCAGCTGCAGACACGGAGAAAGAAAATCTCTCGCTGCCGTTTCGAAGCCTTCCATGAGGAGCACAACCTCCTGTCCTCCGAGTCAACACACCAGAGCTATACTGGCAAAACACAAGGAAGTGACCACATGAAAGAGGACATTGACAGGAAACAGAGCTGACTTCCTGCCTCACAGGAAACATAGCGGTCAATAAGCAGAGAAGAAGGCATGGAATGCGAAGCCGCAAGGCCGTGAGCCAAGTGGACACCGCAAATTCAATTCAATCCCCCTTCCATCAGCCAAGAGAGTGTATGTTTAGCAACAGGCTCCGAGGTTTGTTGTCAGAGCACATGCATTAAAAGAAAACAATGTTCACTATGCC